CCCCAAAACCCCAAAACCCCATGGTATAAAAAATACTATTTTAGTTTAGAAATTAAAATTTTATTATCATGACTAATTAGCACTCTACTCCAATTTTTAGGAATTAGTATCTCTCTTTTCTTTTTGCTTTTTCTCTCTTTTCTTACTCTAAGGAAGTACTTTTCCTTCTGCAGCTTTTCTAATTATTGAACCTTCGTTTTTCTCTTTCTTTTTCATTGTTACTGATCCTAGCATATTATTCCATGATATTTTTTTATTTTCTTGAAGCAGCTTTTGATTAATGACTGTAATTCCCATACTGTTCATAACTTTATGCGATTCAATAAATGTCTATTCATAGTATTACAGCATTATCTCATTCAAACTCATATCAATAGCATTCTCCTCGTATTGTCTTCTAAAGACATTATAAGTTTCAATATCACTAAATACTGGATTGCTCCACTCGATGTCATCAAATCCACATTCACTTAAAATCAAGCCATTTTCAGGGGCTATGTTATAGTTTGGTCTATCTGGTAACTTTTCAATATCATATAATAAATCAATGACACTTTCATCCTCTTCCCCTCTACCAATCATAAATAGAATTGCCATCATGCATCTGACTTAATGCCATAAGAAAGCGCTACCTCTTATGATACAATACCAGATGGATAGTTTTTCATTATTCTAATTGATTTGAAGTGGCAAAATATCAAATCTAAAAATTCTTCTCATGAAATTCTAATCATCATCAAACTCATCATCCTCCCTTTTAACACTTTCATCTTTTTTGCAAAAGTTCCTAAAATCATGCAGCCCTAAATACTTCTTTGCAGCTTTTATTATTTTATCAATATTCATATTCTACTGCACAAAGAAGTATTTGTACTCTCTATAGATGCAAGAGAATCTAGAGTCGAAATGGGGTGGAACTTCACAGTAAGATATCATTCTAATGTCTAGAGGCAGAGCATGATTAAGTGTTTGACAATAGCTTTCATCTTTCAATTTTCTAACATAGAGAGAGCAAACATTTCCTAACGCAGAAACACCTTTATCAGTTCTTCCACATCTAGTATACTAACTCCTATTTACTGGTAAATCAGGCTATATTAAGCAGGTCCTTTTCAATGATTAATATATTTTTCCTTCTATAGTTTCATCAGTATTAGTTTAAATGGCTAGACCTTTATAATTCTTGCCTAAATAGCTGAATTTCAATGCAATCTTAACTATTTCATGCTTTTAAAAATCGAAAGGCTTTTGCTAATGTTTCTTTACATTAGGTTTAGCCTCTATTAGAGTTTTTTTATTTTCTATGATTAAATTTATAAGATCTTCTTTATTGAATCTTTAAAGATGCTCTATTGATAAAGATCTCTCGGTCAAGTCTATTTTAGAGTAATGAAAATCTGTCTTTATTTCCTCTTACTCTTGAATTTCAGAATCCTTATTATTGTTCCCAGATTATAATGCACTATCTGTTTGTATTTTTTCCATTGCAATAGCTGATTTAATTATACTTAAATAATGAGAATATATAATAAATTTAGCCAATACTTTCAATATCAAAGTTGAATATTAGAGTGAGGGGTTTTGGGGTTTTGGGGTTTTGGGG